GCGCCAGGTTCACGCTGGAAAAGCACATATGCGCGGTGCTAATGCGATAGCCACGTTTGGAAAAGGATCCGCCGTACATCCGTAAAGCCCGTAGCCGTTTTGGCTCAGGTGCGAAAGCGGGGGCCCTGGCGATTCGCGCTCGCGCGCAGCCTTGGGGCAGGCTCGAGTGCCCCAGGTTTCTTTCTCACGACGCGGTCCCGCTGTGAGCCTTGTCGGCGGCCGAAGTTGCGGCATAGAAAAGTCACGCAGCGCCGGCGTGCTGCGTTGGCCCTCACGCGCGGCGACGGCGCGGTCCGAAGGCCGACGACCCCATTTTTGGGGGCGCCAGGCTTGCGGGCGAACGTCCAACAACCCAAAAACGCGAAAGCATGCACGCAAGCAGACCTTCGGCGTCGCGGCCACGCGTGCGGCGGCGCAACGTAAGGCAAATCACGCGGGAGAGCTCAAGCCAGGCTAGCTCACGCAGGGTGGCATAATCTGGGGTCACCCATCAGGGACCGGAAGCAACAGTAATGCGGAGGGGAATTCGCGAAGCGAGGGGATATGAGGGGAGAGAAAGGGGGGGAGAGGGGGAACTCAAGCCGACACGCGCACGCGCGGGGGCACGAATGCCAGCACCCAGGCGTTCGCGCAGGCAAGCAGTCAGACGATGATGCAGTCAGACGAGAATGTTGCCGCCGCGCGCGCCTGGCGAGGGCCACCTCGGGACGGGGCGACAGGTGGCGGCGACTTCGACGGCGATAGGAGGCGCCCCGTGGACGTCTTCGCTCCGCAACGGCGTGACGGCGCGCATGCGGCGTTGGACTTTGCCATCATTGAGTCGGGCGTGTCCTTCTACGGGGGAGAACTCAGAAACAGTCAAACAAACAGTCGTGGACGGTTTCTCCATTATCTTCTGACATGTTTGTTTGTTCTGGCTGTTCTGAAACTTTGGCACACCATCCTTCTGTAGGACGACGTGCCCGACCCAACGCCATCACTTCCTGCCCCCGCGCGGACTGGCTCGCTGCCTCCGGTGCCGTAGGCCTCGGCGACGCAGCGGCGACCCGCTGCGAGGATGGAGGCCATCGTACCGCTCAGAGCTGGCATGCGGGGCCCACGGCGGCGGCTGGGGCCGCGAGGCGCGGCGCGGCCTTCGCGGTGCTGGCCAGGCGCGCGTCCGATTCGACCTGGGACGACGCCGCGCTCGCGGCCGACCAGCTGGCCCAGCGGCTTCCATTCTCCGCTCCCGAGGGAGACTGCGCGTGAAGCGTTGCGACGCTTCCAGCCGCGAGCGGGGGCACCGGCCACGCGCTGGGCGGCGGTCGCGGCAGCTTCCGCGACGGACGCCGTGTGAGCTGCTTGCCCAGAGCCTGGGGGCAGCCACCTTCCCCGCTCCGACACCGCCGTCGACTCAGCCCGCCCCGCTTGACGCGACGCTCGGCCACCGTGGACAACGCGACGCCGACGATTGCCCCCGCCCGGCCCCCGTCCGTCCTTTCGTGCCTGCTTGCCGCGACCCCCGCTCCCTCCCGTCCTCCTGGTTTGCGTGTGTTCGATGCCTGTTTGTTTCTCTTTGCGCCCCTTCGCCTCCCCCCCTCCCTCTCGTTCTCACTGCGCAGCCGATCGTTGACAGGGATGCCTGCGCGCGGGCGCGAGAGCCAGCGCGTTGACTTGCGGCCCTTTCCTCCTATTATCCCCTGTCGCCCTGTCTTTGGTTCCCCCGTTGCGTTCGCGTTCTCGTCGAAGCTTTTCTGTAAATTTTTGGTCGTCGAAACTTTTCTGTAAATTTTTGGGGGCCGGCGCGGGATCATGCCCGAGCCGAGGCCCCGGCGCTAAAACGGCGTTCTCTAGTTGGCGCCCGCCGGGAGCGGAGGCCACGGCGTCCCCCACGCCCCCAGAGCCATTGTGTTCAGATGCGGACTTTTGGAGTTGTTCCAGTACTCCAGATTTCGTAATAAAAGGGAGGGGGTCTGGACCCTCCAAGACAAGCCATTTCAGACCTCCCCCGTGGGAGACCCCTCCAAAACATCGTCCCCAGACCCCCCAGGCCCTCCAAGATAGCCTGGAAGAGACCCCCCCCCGAAATGAGACCCCCCTCCCTTTATTACGAAATCTGGAGTATTCGTGGTTGTCTCGCCGGCGCCGGGGGCATGGCGGCTGTTTTTCAACGGGTACGGAAAAAACATGTGTCATAGTTGCGCGGTGCTTTGACGTCCGTACTGATGATGGGCGCCACTGTGGGCACACAAGGGTCCTTGTGAGAAAACCCCACCGAATTCCATCATTTGCGCCTTAGTAGACAGCGTATAGTAGACAGCGTTTAGTAGACAGCCTTTGCATCATCCGTGGGCGTTTCGTAGACAAGCCCTGCCTTGCTGGACATCTCCCTCCAATGGTTCTTTCGGAGTCTCGCCTGTCGGAGCGTTCCTCGTGCAGTTCCTCCAGCCCCCTGCAGCGTGTGCACCGCGCTCGCGCGTGTGCGCGCGCGGATTTGGATATTTCTCACGCGAGCGTGCGCCGCCCGGAGATCAAAACGTGTGCACGAGCGCGGGCCCCCTGCGTTGCCGTGCCGTGGCCGCCGGGGTCGGGACAGCACCGGGCGCGGCAACCGCCGTCGTGCTCGGGAGGTCTTCGTGGGTCCCCGGAGGCTCACACGACGTCCCCAGAGAGTTCCAGAGGCACACCGAGGCCCGACCAGGGCCAACACCGGATGTTCGAGCCTCCAATGTCCAGCGTGGGAGGGAGGGCCATCGGAGGGGCTCGACTGTATTGGAAGTTGGGGGGCTGGGGCGGAGGTGACCCCAACCGCGAAATCGGTGTCGGTTTCGGCTCGTGTCGCGCGTGCGGGCGAGGCGAAGCTGTGCGAGTTCCATCCAGAGTAGAGGCCGTCTGTTGCCAAAAGGGCAGCCCCCCGAGCGCTGGGCGTGGCCCTCAGTTGTCCCGGCGGTTGTCCTTTTGGTCGTGGTTGTCCCGATGGTTGTCCCGATGGTTGTCCCGATGGTTGCCCCGATGGTTTTCCCGATGGTTGTCCCGTTGGTTGTCTCGTTGGTTGTCCCGATGGTTGTCCCGACGGTTGTCCCGATGGTTGTCCCGACGGTTGTCCCGATGGTTGTCCCGATGGTTGATAGATAGATTCACAGAAGTTGTTAGATAGTGTCCGGATGGTTGTCCCGATGATTGATATAACGATAGTTAGATAACAGATAACTATATAGGTGTGTAAATATAGAGGGAGATAGTGAGATACATGAATGCACTGACATATGGCAGGGAAGCGTACAGAAAGATGGACCGATTAAGTTTTTTTATATAATGCCACGTTTATCTATACATTGATTTATGGCGAGAGTCATGGACATAAATGTATATAGAGAGATAGAGATAGACAGGTCTATGTATACATAGAGACATCGATATATGGTTTGACTGGTTGATTGGTAAACTGATATACCGCGACATTGATATGTCTACACATCTATATATATGTGGTTTTCCTAAATACGTATCAAGAAAGATTGACCGATAGATGAACGGGCAGATGTGCGCGACAATAGAAAGCTGGAGAAACCACCAAAGAACCCAGAGCCATCGCAAATCGACCGCCTCCCCCGTTTCCCCGCAAAAACCTCCTTCTCACCCTTTCTGCAAAGGCCCGCCCCTTCTCATTTCCCCCCTCGCTCGCCGCCGGATAGTCCCCGTCGCTTGTTCGGCGTGGGAACCAGGGACTCCGTTGAAATAAGTTGGTGTATACAGAGGAGAGAAGCTCCAGCGTCCCGCTCGTTGGGACGTTGGGCCGCCTATGCACCAAGCCCCTTGGCCCCTCGAGTCCATAGACATGGGGTCCCTCCCAAGCCACCTCGATCCCAATCGGTGGCCCTTGCTGAACAGCCCTGCGCGTTCACTCAGCAGCCTTGCCCTGGTCGACTTCTTCTTGATTTGGGCTTGCCACAGGGCATTGCTTGGTGCTGTGCTTCTTGCAAGGGTGGTTATTTTGCTTTCTATTCAGGCTCGAGCTCGAAGACAAGAAACAACTACTATCGGACCTCGAGCCCCCGATCCAAGGATCTCGACCCTCGCTCCTGGATCATCCGATTTCGATCCTGGATCCTAGACACCTTCGCTCCTCGATCCTCGCTCTTCGATGCCCGATCGTCGTTCCGCGAGCCTCGATCTACGAGCCTTGATTCGTCGGCGAAATCCGAACCCTGCCCTCGCCGATCAATGACTTATGCAACTTGAAGGGCGGCGGGGGTAGGGCTAGAAGGTCGTCGAGCACGTGGCGAAATCCAAAAACCTACCTCCGCCTCCCACTGGTTCACGAGAAGCGATGGTTGGTGAGGCTAAGGTTCAGATGTCGCCACCTGTCGATCTCCGAACAGATCCTCGATCTCGGAAGTTCCGATTGTCGAGCAGCGCCCGCTTCCCAGGTACAAGTACGTCCGCGACCGCCGCGCGCTGGGCGGAGGCTTTGTCTGGGAGGACGCGCTGGCGCGGTGCCGCTCAGCATCTGCCTCTGACGAGTCGTACCTGCGTAAGAGCGTCGAACAATAACCAGCCAACACCCTGGCAACATGAACAACCACAAAGCTAAACAACCAAAATATATATAGTGGCATACGCATGAATTTTCGGAGGTCCGCTCGGATTTCTCACCGGCGCTTGCGCGCTTCGTGCGCCAGGGAGGGGGACCCAGCGCCGATCCACGACATTCGCGCGGAGATCCGAAAGTTTATGTCTGTGCCATCATTTGTTCCCCATCTCCGCCGCCAGTTCAAACAGCGTTAGGCAGAAGAAAAGCGTGTGGGAGCCCCGACCTGCGTGAAGTTCAGATGTCCTTCTCGGGCTTCGCCACGATCCCCGCCACTCCATGCTGCCTCTACGATGGACCCTTCGCCGGGGAGTTGCCCGTGGTGCGGGCCTGCAGGGGTCCATTTAGCTCTGGCCTGCGCGCCAGGATTTGGCCTCTCTCGCCCATGGTCACCCTTGCGCGTAGCCAGACTGAGCTTTTTGAGCCTGGGGGGGAGCAGCCAGTCGAATGCTGCTCCTCTTGATCGACGATTTCGACGTCCCCACGACTTCGACGCCGACGACTCGACGATTTCTGCCTCTCGGCAGCCTCGACGGTGACGCCTGTCGTTTCGGAGCCGTGCTGGCGCGTCTCCGGGCTCTCGTCGGCACGGCCAGACGCGGTTCGAGAAGACGTCGAAGCTCAAGAGACGGGGGGCAGTGCAGACGGGGGTCAGTCAGAGCGCCGGGTCTCGCAGGATCCTGTAGAGCCAGGGTCGCCTCGACCCTGGTTTTGGGTTCAGGATCCCGCAGGATCCTGCAGGACCTTGCAGGTTCTTGCAAGGGGCCTGGCTGTCCCGGGTTTGGAGTGACCCGGGTCAGTGCGTTCTCCAAGACGGCCAGGATGGACCCCGGGAGCAGACCCGGGATCGGTTGTGAGCCGATTTTGTCCCTTCCAGCCTCGCCCCGCGGGGTCATCGGGTTGTGCTTGCATGCCTCCTGGTCACCCGCTGGACCGCGACACTCCTCAGGGGCACTCCTCGTCTCTCCCATCTCTGCCCCCGCTCCCCCCCCTTCGTTCTGCCCCCATCCTTTTGATGGTCTCCGGTCATTGCCTCCTGCACCTCGACATCCTCAGTATCATCATCATCATCATCATCATCATCATCATCATCATCATCATCATCATCATCATCATCATCATCATCACCATCATGTGCCCTTGCCCACTCCAACGGCGCTGTATCTTCCTCCGCTTTGCTTCTCCGACGTCAAGCAATGCCGGTGGAGTACATTCATGCACCAACATGTTTTTTCGGATGCAATTCCTGTGGGGTCAAATTCTGACTTTGCCCTGGTCCGAAATCCGGCTTAATGCCGTTCAATTCGGCTTCATTCCGCTTAATCCGGCTTAATCCCGCTGACTCCGGGTGAATCCCCCTTCATCCGTGGCCTAATGTGGCGTGACAGTCATCCATTGGGGCTTCATCTTTCTGAATATTTCGAATATTTCGTGAAGACCTCCCAGAAGTTGTCTCATAATTTTTCTTCGAACGTTGATCGGGCCTCGCAGGAAACAGCCTCCTTGCGAAAGGGCGCGTGCAGCCTTAGTGCTCGCGCGCCCCCCCCCCCACCCCCACCCCAGGCGCTCATGTCGGCTCCCTTGGAAGACGTGCGAAGCGTGTCTTCCGAGGCTGGTGCAGCGCACCTAGTCGCAAGTATATGTGTAAGCTGGTGTCTTACAGTGGTGCTCCTCGATGCGTCGGTGCATTCGTTTTCGCCTCCTCCTGCTCCTCCTGGCCCTCCTCCTCTCCTCCTGACCTTTCTCCCCTCCTGCTCCTTCTCCTCCTCCTCCTCCTCCTCCTCCTCCTCTTCTCCTCCTCCTCCTCACCTCCTCCGCCTCCCCTCCGCCTCCTCCTCCTGATCCCTGGGCAAGACGCCAATGCTCCCCCTCCTCCTCCTCCTCCGATAAGACAAATCCATGCACCGATGCGGTTCGGGGCCGTCTGTGGGCTCGTGACAGGGCCATCTGGGTCTGGCGGGGCCGCCTGCCCCCCCCCACCCGTGTACCACGTGCGCGCGGTTTGCACATGCGTGCCCCAGTCGTCGCGGCAGGGCGCAAGGGTTGTTGGGAGGGTACTGATGTTGTTTCTCACGGCCTCCCTACGTATTTTTTTTCTGGCTCTGACGGGCTTGTCTGACGCGGCGCAATTATTTGCGCAGCCACTTTGCTTGGTCATGGGCAAGCACTGTGGCTGCGCAAGTAGTTTCGGCATCAGAGCGTGTCTTAAGCCTTCGGGAGTTGCTGCATTCGGGTCGCAATTCTGATATCAACAGCGGCACGCCGTCAATACCTGCTCCTGATCAGTGACTGTTCTTCTCGTCGCTCGCAGCGCCAGACGTTTCGGGTAGTCGATTCGGCGTTTCGCTTGGGACGTCTTCGTCCTCGTTTGGCAAGGCGATTCGGCTATTCGCTTGGGACGTCGTCGGCCTCGAAACTCACGACAGCTGCTCGTGTTCAGGACATGCTGGTTTCGACATATGGTGTTCAATGTGACTTCCTGACATGTTATTACACTGAAGTTGGTCGTGGCACGCACATTGAAACCGATCATTGGAGAGTAGGCGTTTGTCAACACATAGCTCTTGTCTGCTCCGTGCTAGAAGTGACGATCCCAGCTGTACCTCCAACAGCCACATGGATGGATGGTGGGCCGCATTTCGAATTTGATCCTGAATCGTGCGAGGACGCAATTCCTGCGACTTCAACACCGCCTGAATCATCGTAACCGTTGCGCCCTCAATCATCGTGAACCCGTCCAAAACACCATTTCTGGTACGTCTACCATGGTAACCCGTGAAACTCTGGCAAATGTTTAACAAGTGTGTGCGTGGCGCTCAGGCGAGAGCCACATTTTGAAACGGAACCGCCCTCAATCCGTGAAACTCTTGAAAGTTTACAAGCGAATGTGCGCGGCGCTAAGGCGAGAGCCACATCTTGAAAACCACCCGCTCTCAACCCGTGTAACTCTTGCAAAATTTCGAAACGAATGCGCGCGGCGCTAAGGCGAGTGCCACCTTTTGAAAACCACCCGCCCTCAATGCGTTAAACTCTTGCAATTTGTGAATACGAATGAGCGCGGCGCTAAGGCGAGAGCCACATTTTGAAAACGACCCGCCCTCCAATTGTAGAGTTGCTGACATCTTTTTCAGCTTCAGAGCCATAAGTGGTGAGGAAGTCTCAGGCGAAACGCCCGGCCCGCCCTAAAAACTGGCCTCGGGGTGCGACAGGGAGAAGTTATGAGGAAAAGGAGTGGAGGAGGAGGAGGAGGAGGAGGAGGAGATGCTCGTCCTCCTCCCTCCTCCTGCTGCTGGCCCTCAGGATCCACCCCCGCCCTCCTCCCTCCCTCCTCTCCCTTGCTCCCGCCTGCTGCTCATCGTCCCTCCTCCTCGCTCCTCGCCAGTCTGATGTGGTGAGCCTTCAGCAGGGGACCGTGGTTTCCATTCTCCTCCTTTCCTCCCGACGGCACCGCGGCACGAACGCCGCAACGAGGCACTGGATTTCAACGAGGAGGCTGATGAGAAGTTGGAGGATGAGGTATCCGTACTCCCATCCCATTACTTCTCCTCCTCCTCCTCCTCCTCCTCCTCCTCCTCCTTGTCCTTCTTCTCCACCTGCGTCCGCACACGCTGTGGCTCGAGCGGCAAGCGGGCTTCAAGCGAGGCGCCAGCGTTATCGCCGCGTCGTGCTTCCCTGCCCCAGGGCGAGCGGCGGCCGATCGATGGGAAAGGCAGGCCAGGCGCGCTGCGTGCACCGCACCTTCGGCAAGAAGACGAAGGTGAAGAGCGCGGGGAAGGCCTCCAAGGCTCCAGGGGCGCCAGCGAAACACACATGCAGCGAGCCTGCACCGGCTGGCCCGACCCCCGGGCCCAGGATCGTCGTGCGTGCCGCCTGCTGGCTCAGGCAGGAGGGCGTGCGCGCCGATCCCGGGCCCAGGACGGGCCTTGCCAACCTCGGCGTACAGGAGATACGCCCAAGTGATCGTTGTTTCCCAACCGTCCTGTGGTGTTGGGTCGTCGTTTTGAAGAGACGGTCCCCGCGTTCCTCTCCTTTCTCCTTCTCCTCCTCCTCCTCCTCCTTTTCCTCCTCCTCCTCCTCCTCCTCCTCTTCTCCTCCTCCTCCTCCTACTCCTCCTCCCTCCTCCCGTCACCCCCTCCACTTTGGCACACACACACACACACACACTGTGGCCCCGTAGGGCGTGGCCCCATAGGGAGCTCCACCGAAGGCCCTACTGGGGGTGCCCGCATGCGGTCCCCCCGCCCAGTGCAGCGTTACGTGGCCCCATAGGGAGCCCCACCGAAGGCCCCAGTGGGGTGCCAGCATGCAGTCCCCCCCCCACCCAGTGCAGCGTTTCGTGGCCCCATATGGAGCTCCACCGAAGGCCCCAGGGTCGAATCGCCCCCCTGCGTTTTAAAGGATTTTCTTTTGTCGGAGGCGGAGCGCATTGTTTGCTTGCTGTTGGTATCGGCGTGGTGTACCCGCTATGCTTTTCTTCGGCGCTGCCTCCCACTCTTCTCTCTCTCTCTCTCTGTCTTTCCGCCGCCGTCCGCCCAATCTTCAGCCTAAGTGGAGCCTAAGCCTCAGCCTAGCCCAGCTTAAGCTCCAGCCGAAGTTTAGCCGAAGTCTAGCCTAAACTTCAGATTCAGCCTCGGTCTAGAACAGGCTCTGCTTCTTCAGCCTGGCCCAAGCCTGGCCTGAGCCTAAGCTTCAGCCTCGGCCTAGCCTACGCTTTAGCCTAAGCGTTGCCTAAGCCTGGCCCGGACCCAAGCCTACGCCTAAGATCCAGCCCCCGCCTGGCCTAAGCCTCAGCCTAAACCAGGCAAGCCTCAGCTTCAGTCTAGTCTAAGCATAGCCTGAGCCTGACCCAAACCTCAGCCTAAGCCTAAGCCTCAGCCTAGTCTGCACCTCAGCCTAAGCCTAGCCTAAGCCTCGTCCAAACCTCAGCCAGATCTTCGGCGGAAGCCTCAGCCTCGGCCAATCCCAAGCCTGGCCTAAGCCTCAGCCTAAGCCTCAGCCCCAGCCTTAGATAAACCCCAGCCTGAGCCTGAGCCTCGGCCTGAGCTAACCTCAGCCAAAGCCTAGCCTGAGCCTCATACCTTCAGTTGCTATTACACGACTAGGGTATTACTTTATTATTACATCATTACCATAACAGTTCTACGATCACTATATTAGGGTACAACTACTCCGACAACGCAATTGCTAGTACAACAACTCGACTATATTAGCGTGATGCTACACTTTCAAAGTGTTACAAGGCCGTGCTGTTCCCACAGCCTCTACTACGGTGATACCATTACTACGGTACCAGCGCACTACTTCGATTCCAGTGCCATGCTACTAATAAAGTACTACTAGGGTACTACGCTGCTAGGGCCCGGCGGTCATGCTTGAGTACTCCAATTCTAAAGCTCCATTGCGACTACTGCCAATATTCGAACACTACCAGTACAGTGCTAAAATATCACGTATGCCATATTACCGCTGCAGTGTTGCACCATTTGTTACAGCGTTTACGACTACTGTTACAGCGTCACCATTATAGTATTATTGTACGAACATACCACCACAGTTGTTTGCCATGCTGCCGCAGTGGAGCATACTTAGCACAGTACTATTCTTACGAATAATGTATTATAGCACTGCTTCTACAGTGCCAGTACTACACTTGTACACCACTGTTCCACAACAGTACGAAACTATTGCTACACCACTACTACTGGCGCACTCCTGTCCGATGGTATCGGTATTAAATCCGAGTGCGACCGCCGTGGGTTATTTCTACTACCGTACTACAGTGCGACTACTGAACCCAGCAATCGGGTATGACCTGTAGTTCCAGACCTGGGTACTACCTACGACCACTACTACTGATACCACTACTATTATTAGTAGTATTATTCTTATTACTACTATCACTACTACTACTACTACTACTACCACTACTACTACTACTACTACTACGACTACTACTACTACTACTACTGCTACTACTACTACTACTACTACTACTACTACTACTACTACTACTACTACTACTACTACTACTACTACTACTACTACTACTACTACTACTACTACTACTACTATTACTCCTGCTACTACTACTACTTCTACTACTACTACTACTACTACTACTACTACTACTACTACTACTACTACTACTACTACTACGACGACGACGACTACTACTACTACTACGACTACTACGTCTACAAGTACTACTGTTTGGGTGACTACTGCGCTGTCACTTCACTGGTACAATATTATTATGACTGGGCGCGGTGTTAGAACACCAGTAGTACACTTCTAGCGTAGCACTACTGGAGCGCGGGTGCTACAGTACAGTGATACGGCTATTGCAGCGCCACCACTGCAGCCCGACAGCGCAAGACTACTGCAACAGCGCCGGGTGCGGCATTGTAGTAATCCTGCTACGGTACTGTAGTACAGTCGCTGCAGGCAGATTCGACTTCTAACGAGTACTGTGTTAGAGTATTGTTCTACATTGCCACTACTACAGTAGCGCAGCACTGCTCCACAATAGTGCAGCACTATTCCTATAGCGCTACCGCTAGAGCACACATCGACGGCAATTCTATTGTTTTCGAGTGTTTCAGTCGTGGAGTACCTCTACTACAACACCTACAGCGCGACTACTACAGCAAACGCTGTAGGGTATGATCGTTACTGCAAGACCTGAGTACTACTACTACTACTACAGCTACAGGACTGCTACAGTGTTGCCACTTCGTTTGTGCAATACTACTTCTGGCTGGGCACGGTATTAGAACAGACGAGTTTCGCAGGGGGGCGATTCGTCCCTGGAACCGCCCGCATGCGTCCCCCCCACCCAGTACAGCGCTTCGTGGCCCCATACGGAGCCCCACCGACGGCCCCAGTGGGGTGCTAGCATGCGCCCGCCACACCCAATACAGTGTTTCGTTGCCCCAGAGGGAGCTCCACCGAAGGTCGGTCCTCGTGGGGGGTGCCCGCATACGTCCGCCACACCCAGTACAGCGCTTCTTGGCCCCATAGGGAGCTCCACCGAAGGCCCCAGTGGGGGTGCCCGCATGCGTCCGCCACACCCAGTGCAGCGTTTCGTGGCCCCACAGGGTGCTCCACCGAAGGCCCCAGTGGGGGTGCTCGCATGCGTCCACCACACCCAGTACACTCAAACCTATCGTTTTCGTTCGTGCCGTTCGCCCCGCCACACACTTCGGCGCACCTCTCGCACGGGCTGTGGCCCCATAGGGAGCGCCACCGAAGAAGATGTTCACGATTGCGGCATTCACAACTGCATATGGTTGGGTCCTTCGCCAGGCTTGCATTTTCATTGTTTTACCGATCGGCGAAGGCCCCCAACCCCCCACTCCCCTCCCCCCCGTGGAGTGGATCTTGGCTGTTTTTGGCGCCCGTTTCGAGCAGGTGGAGCCTCCCCCATGGGGCGCACAGATGCAAACAGGCGCATTAAGCAGGGGTCCGGAGGCAGACCCCTCTCCCCCCCCTTTCCGCCCAATGTCGAAACGTCGAACAAGAAAACGCTCACCAACAGGGGACCAGTTTGCCAGCAGGTGCCCAACGGATATTTCTAATCCCACGGTGGCCCCAAACGCACTGGGAAACCGCGATGCATTTTGAGAAATCCACGGGTCAACGCAGAGCGTGCCCCAGATTTCTTATAGCAAAACTTTTATCGTATGTCCCTGCTGGACAAGCCCAGCGCGGAGATAAGGATTTCGTTGGGTTCAGGAGGTTCTCTGGTTTGTTGGCTGTTCCCCCGACCTGGGTCGAGGAACCCAGTCGTGGCCAGGGCTTGCCATGGCCATGGCAGCCCCTTCGTTCCCTGGTCAGCGATCCCTACGGCAGTACGAAGCCTGCACGCGCATATTTCGGCGTCCACATTAAGGCGGCGACTCCGCCCAAACTGAAAAAGGGCATCGCGGCC